CCCTTCTCATGGCTGGCCAGGGCCCCCCGCGTCTGCATGTTCTTCTTGGCCAAGTAGATGGCTGGAAGGGCAGGGGCCGGCTGCAGAGGCCTGAGCTCAACCCCTACCTGGTGGCCTTACCCGTGAGTCCCCCAGTCACTCACCATAGTCCAGCTCTGCAGCTGGCCACAGTGTGCTCGTCCAGAAGTAGGGTGTCTGATGCGGTCAGGAAGGTGGCGTCCAGGACCCCCTGGGCCTTTCCCACCCGCATGGACCCCTTGGGATGGGGCTGGGCTGGGCAGCAGTGCCCCTGTCTACCCACCACCCAGAGACCAGCTGGCCGCTGGGCATTCTCTGCCCAGAACTGCGGTCAGCTCAGCCCCTGGAGCCCTGCAGGGTGGGGCAGGAGTAGGGAATGACCCCAGCCCTGGATGGGCAGGAGGGGCTCTGTCCCCTCTGTGTGCACACGGACGTGCGGGTGCTGGAGGGCTGCTAGGAAGTGGCAGTGCCCTCTGCAGACAGGACCCTCCCTGGGCCTGCTGTGGCCCCAGGAAAGCAGAAGCCCTCCCCTTGCGGCCCACGGGTACTTCTCCAGGCTTTTCCAGGAAGGGCAGTGTACCCGCAGCGTCACAGTGACCCCGGGGTGACAGCACCACTGCCTGCTTCAACCCAGCCAGCTCTGACCCTTGGGAGCCGCAGCGTGGGCTGCTGAGGGGGTGGGTGGGTAGGTGGTGCCTCCCCAGCGCCTGACCTGGAATCTGTAGGCCATGTCTGGCTGGAGCACCAGGCTGTGGGGCGTGCGCAGCGCGTACATGTAACCCAGCTGCAGCAGGAACTTGCCCAGGTGCAGGGCCTCTGCAGGGGCGGTGGTGAGTGCTGGGAACCCTTTCCCAGCTAGTTTGCCTCCCCCGCGGTTCGCCCCTGGAGACCTCACCCTCCTCAGAGATGCAGAACTTCTGGGTCAGCCATGCAACCACGTCGCTTCCTGCAGGAGAGGTTGGCTAGGGGAAGCCCAGGCGCCCCTGCCCCCAGGCCCTGGCGGCCCCTACCCGTCACTGCGTGCGGGATGACGGTGATGAGCAGGCGCTGGCTGCGAGTCTTCACGCCCTGGTCCGGGTCCTGCATGCTCACGACCACCCGCTCCATCTAGCGGAGGGAGCCGTGAGGGCTGCCCGAGCTGCCCACCCCCACCCAGGAGCCTGGTTCTCTGGATCAGTGCGCTCGGCTCGGGGATAACCCCAGACGCGCATCCGCACCGGGCTCCCGCCCTCTAGGTCTCGGACGCCTGGCAATCTGGGGTACCGTGTAACCCCCCCCGCCACTCCCACCTTGCTCAGACACGGCATCTGCATGCGTGGGCGCTCGCTGGGGGACTCGGGGCCGGCGGGCAACGCCCGAGGG